CAAAACGACGAGTCAAGCGAGACACGGAAAATGACGCGCATTTATTTTGCATACGTAATCGAGGAGGGCTAAACGAACGAAGACGTCCAAGTTCCAGAGAGTCCTCGGATATTACACCGAGGAGACCCTAGCTCCCCGAAAGAGGGTTAACGATCGGGTCATTGTACCCTCAGCTCGACGTGCCCTTTCGGGGCTCGCGCCTTGCCTTACGCAGCTTCAACGGTCAGCCTCGACGGACCGAACGAACCACTGACCGAAAATATTTTCAACGTTCAACGAGTTAACCATCTCGTATGCGGGTACTTTCAAAAGAATCTATTATGGTATCAAGAATGATCAATTTACTTCGGGTCAACCATATAAATTTCAGGATCGGATTTATTCATTAGCATAAGCGTAGATTATTACATGTATTTTTATATAAACTTCCAATAGACATACACTCACAGAGAGAGAGAGAGAGAGAGAGAGAGAGAGAGACAGACAGAAAGACACAAAATTTCGATCGATATTATTTTCAATTAAAACCAAATCGTTTACTCGAACCGGAAATGTCGTTCTTGCAAATAACATAAACGTTCAACGATAGACGACTAAGAAAACCGACGATCCCGATTTGTCCCTGTATAAGAAAGCTTTCGAGTCTTGGGCTACGATCCAAAAAGCGACCGCCATATTTATGGTCCCCGACGTCTTAACCCAGTGAGCATCGAACGTATCCGGAAAACGAAGTCGAAGTTGAGAGGTTACGGGAGGTCAGGTTTTGGCTTTCTCTATGTGTGTATGTATTCTCCGTAAGGAAACGCCGTGGGTAACGATTTTGGCACTGCTCTGCGATAGCTTTTCGTAGCACGCCTCGGCGATAATGTTCGAAGGGAAACGTGATTCGTCGATGACGATAATTCTGCAATCTAACTCATGAGCCGTCGTCGATAATGCAAGAGGAGCGGCTGAGGAGAAAGAGAGAAGAAGACAGTTTTTCTTTCCTTTTTTCCTTTTATTTTTTCTTCTTCTTTTCTTTCTCTTTCGAATAAAAGTTTTCCTTGGATGGAAAACGATAGAAAATAGTCGATTCGTTTCAAACGCATATTTCATTTCGAAATCTACGACCTTAGGACGCTAGCTTTCGGAAGGAAGTTTCCATTGGTGAAGTCCTTCGTGGGTATGAGAAATCTTGCTTGGAATTTTGAATAAAATACATTGTCCTTGTATTCGTACGTCTCTCGAAAAGGAAACGCAAAAGTTTTGAGATTCGTGCTCGAATGGAAATTTCGAAATAGGACATAGTGTAATTTAGTCTACTGTATGGCAAATTTTAGTTTACAGAAAGTTTCACCGACCTGAATTCGAAACGGGAAATATTTTCTATATCTATACTTTTTACATATATACCCCTATCGGATAGATCGTACGTGATAGATACTCAAGGTCCCTTCTTTTTTAGAGTTTCGAATATAAGAAATTTTATACCAAGTCTCACGTATATGTATTTCGAAAGAGATGACGCACATATATCGATTTTTCTTTCGTTCTCCTACGTCCAACGTTTATCCCTTTCTCTTTCTTTTCTTTTATTTCCTTTCCTTTTTCTTATTTCTTTTTGTCTTTTTTTCTCTTCGTCACCGAACGATAAATAAGAAAGTTCACTTGCAAATTGTTCATTCATAACGTTGATAACGTTCGAAAAACTCAAGATATGTATATTTAACATACTGAACGTTATAAAATTCGAATAAATAAATAAATAAAAAAAAAAGAAAAAAAAATTCGAAACGTAACCAAATACTTATCTCAGGTCGAACAATTGGTATACGCGAAAAGAATCGTTGTGAAATTCGTCATCGTCCGCAGTATTTCCGCAGCATTTCCACAGCATCGTCCGTGGTCAGCAAATATCAAAAGAACTGTGGCCAGTTCGGTCGATGAGACGATAACTCGAGGCGGTGATTCCTCGAACGGAAACGAGGTGCAGGCCCGATAAGAACATGCTCGTTCCTCTAATTCCATACGTTATAAACGCCTCTTACGTATCTAATCTAACATTCTTCAACGCTCGTCGTACAAACGCTACGTCCACGAAACGTGCTTTTAAAGTACGCACAGAATCCATGAATCACGTTGCTATAAAAAACGTGTCTCACTTTTTTGTCTCTCTCTCTCTCTCTCTCTCTCTCTCTCTCTCTCTCTCTCTCTCTCTCTCTCTCTCTCTCTCTCTCTCTGTCTCTTTCATGACCCCCCATCTCATTCCACCTCACACACTGTCGCCTTCAATCATTTCTGTTATCCATCGATGATAGCGAAAGAAACCATCACATTTGACTCACTTACGATTATTCATTTGCAAATAATTCCTCCATGCGGCATCGTTATTTCCTTTTGTTTGTACGATCGGATATGCGTCAAACAATAATCCACTCGGCGAATCAAGCTTTATATCGACTCCCTTCATAGTTAATCCTTGATACTCAACAAACAGCCATTATGAACCACGGTTTCCTATCAGACGTCGTACTAAATTATTTTCCACCTGCAAGCTGTTCTAGCCGCTAACTGATCTCTCGTTCGGAACAAGTTTCTATTTACCGTGCCATTGTTATAACGCTTGCACAACGAATCGATACCATTTTGTTATTCGTTTATTCTTTCAAGTGTATGAAACGAACTGTTAACAGTTTTCGTTGATGTATGTGTGTGTGTGTGTGTGTGTATAGAAACTGATATTCGATACTTTAGAATGACTTCGAAGTTGTGAGAATTAGAAGAAAATTTGTTTAACGGAACTTGTTCTACTAGTTTGTCCTTTATACGATTAAAAAAGCATTTTCTTATCGCTTCAACGTCACACGTTTGAATTATCCATTTGATTTTATTTTTTTCCCGTTTATTTTTTCATTTAATATTATTTATCTAACTCATCGAAAACTCTTTGATTTCAATAGTGATAATCTATCGTAGATATATCGCAAGCAAATATATCGTACTTCTCTGATTGTAACGAGATCCACCATAAGATGTTCAGTACTTTTGCATAAGGACAACCGTTATGATGGTAGCGTGGTCGTAAATACACATATGAAATATTTATACATTGTTATATAAACATTATTTATTATCCAATTTAGTAATTATTAGTATATGTTCCACTATATATATATATATATATATATATATATATATATATATATATCGTCAAGTGTGTAACGTAATTCAAAGATTAGATTAAATCGAAAAATTATAAGTAATATCGTTTTATTGTCACTCACCTTATTGTACCTACCTACGTATTTGTCGTTTTAAGTCATTAAGTTCATCGAAAGAAAGAAAAAAAAATTCCATCATAAGTTAAATAATTCATATATCATGGGAAACAAAAATATATTACTAAGCAGATACGTATTTATGTAGGATTACACATGCATTTTAACCACATCCGTGCTTATATAGTTCTGAATTTTATCTACTCGCTTCAACGTGTCCATGGCCAAGCCACAAAGCGTACTTACGTATATATCTACGTAAATATGCATACACGTACATAGGTACCTATATGTAAATATTTTGAAAGCTCAAAAACAAATTTAAGGATACGTTCTCCTCTAGCGTTAGTTCCTCGAACGGCATTTATTTACGTGACCTACTCGTGATTGAAAATGTTTGGCATTAAATACCCAACACTCTCGTAATATATCAATATTCCCGTTAGCAAGAGATAAAAAAAATCCTCCTAGGTTGTTTGAGAATAAGACATAAAAAGAAAAAGAAAAAGGTATAGAAAAGATGACGCCAAAAATAGACAAGGACAGAGAGGAAATATAGTGATGACGGAGATGAGAAGGGAAATGAAAGAAGATAGAACGATGATCGACCAGTTATAATGTTATATACGTTTGTTTACACGAAATTGTGCTTATCTTTGCAAAAGTAACGATTTTGTAAACAAAAATAAAATCAATATTTCCATGTTATTCGAAAGAAAATGAAAAAGAAGCTTTAAAAATGATTCATTGTTTTATTCTAAAAAAAAAAAGGAAAACAAAAAAGAAGCACGTACTATGAATTGTAACGATTCGATAATTTATCGTACAATAATTATTATACAAGTATGTTTCATTTTATCGGTAAAAAATTCTGAAAACTTTTATCAAAATGAAAAGAGACATTGCTAATATAACATTTATTTGATAAATATTATATAATATGTATATACATTATGTTTGTCATTTGAAGAATAATATAACATATTTGTTGTTAGTTAACTAACAAACAAATTTTATCCATTTTAATGGACGATGAAAAGTCACGTATATATATATATATATATATATATCACATATATACATATCTAGTTAATTTGTATCAAACAATTATTTATTAGTAAAAATATTTACGAAGGTTAGACGTGAAACAGGAATATAGAAAAGAAAAAATAGAATGATATTAGCGATATTATACTAATGTCGATTAAATTAAAACGATAAAATGGCCAGTAATAAAAACAATAAAAATGGTATGAGGAGTATGAGGAGAAAAAAGTTCTTTTTCTTGCTAAAAAAAAGAAAAAAAGAAAGTAGAAGAAGAATAAAACAAAAAGGAAAATTAAGAACGAAAAGGAACGAACACGATAATTTTTCGTTAGACGAAATTCATTAAAAAAGAAAGAAAAAAAAAAAAGAAAAAAAGATAAAAGAAATCTGCTTTTGTAAAGAGAGACAGAGAGAGAGAGAGAGAGTGGGAGAGAGACAGAGAGAGAGAGAGAAAGAGAAAGAGGAGAAAAAAAGAAAAGGAGCATGCGTAGGTATGTGCGTTTTAGAGAGAGAGATAAAAAGAGATTGAGAGAGAGAAGGAAATAGTGTGTCCGGGCGTCGCGACGCTACCGAGCAGTGCTGCCACGGGGACGTCGTGCGGTCGGCGGTCGCGTCGCCGGCGAGACACGAACGCACGTTCGGAGCCGCTCGGTCGTGTTCGGGTATCGTCGCACGGCGCTTATGGCAAGGGAACGTCAGTCACTCTTCGGCGCTCGCGCGGAAGGGTTTGTACGGTTTGCCGCCGCTCGGGTTTTCACGTCGGTCCCTAGCGGAGTAGTGTGTGTCGAGAGCGCAAAGAATACATATATCTCTCTGATGCAGCGCGTTTCTTCTTCCTCCAAAGCCGTCCCCGGCGTCCTCGGTTGCCGTCTCTTTTGATCTCTCGCGCGGTCGATCGAGCTCGGTTTTCGCGTCGAGGAAGGAAAGTGATATACGTATATACACACACATATATACATATATATATATATATATATATATATATTTACATCTCTCTCGACATATACATATATATATATATATATAAATATATATACACACACGAAATAGAAAGAAATAAAAAAGAAATATATATATTATATCTACATCTACATCTACATCTACATCTACGATCCATCAATAAACGTATATATATATGTAAATATATACGCGCGAACGCACGCGGAATTCGGAAAAGCCGGCTTTTCAAAGAGGTAGTGGGGGTAGACGCGATCCGCGCGTGTCTCCCAGTGTATGACGTTTACGAGAACGTCGTGAGAGAGAGAGAGAGAGAGAGAAAGAGAGAGAGAGAGAGAGAAGGTGGAGGAGATATTTAAAAGGATTAAAAGGAAAATAAGAAGAAGGGAATCTATCTCTCTCCATTTAATTTTTTTTTTTGGTGTGAAAACAATAACAAAGTAATTGACTTCGTCGTCATCGTCATCGTCATCGTCCTCGTCGTCGTCGTCTTCGTCGTCATCGTCGTCGTCGTCGTCACGAGGACCGAACGAGAGAGATTCTTCATCGTTGTCTGACAAGGGACGAAGAAGAACGAGCACGGCTACAACGCTTCTATCCGTCGCCGGCATTTTGACGTTTGTTTCTACGGTGTCCTTCTCCTTTTCTCTCTCTCTTTTTCTCTTTCTCTCTCTTTCTCTCTCCCTCTTTATCTATCTTTCTCATTATTATTATTATTATTATTATTCATTCCTCGAAACTGTTTTGGTTGAACGTTACGAGAAGAAAGTACAACACTCTCTCTTTCTCTCTCTCTCTCTCTCTCTCTCTCTCTCTCTCTCTTACTCTCTCATTCTCTCTTTCTACTCTTTGCTCTCAGCTCACTGATTGATACGAGCCAGGGGCACACTTCTCGTCGCTCGTATGATGGATACTGGCGCGAGTGACTCGTGTACGCGACGCCACTCGAAGCAGACAGAGCGTCGTCGTCGCGTCGTCGCACAGTGAAGTTTGCCCGCGCGTTCTATCTCTTTCCTACATCCCTCTTTATCTATCTATCTTTCTCTTTCTTTCTATCTGTCTGTTTGTCTATCTGTCTTTATCCTTCTATCCCTATCTTTGTCATCCTTTTTCGAAAGAGTGCGACGCGTAAGGAAGTGTGTCAGCATCGTATAAATCGTACTCTTGCCGCTCGTGGGAGTATCGATCGAAAAGGCAAAGAAGAGGAGGAGGTGGAGGAAGAAGAAGAAGAGGAAACGGAGGAGAAGTAGAAGAAGACGAAAAAGGAAGGAAAAGAGGAAGAGGAGAAAAGAAGAAGAAGAAGAAGGGGAAGAAACAAGCAAGCAAGCAGGAAGAAGTTACCGGGTGTTGTTTCTTCTTCGATGTTACGCGCACGTGTGCGTGCCGAAACGTGCCGTTCCTAATAACGTGTAGTAGTAGTTGTTGGTTCGTCTAAAAAAGAAATATATACATATATATATCTCTATATATAAATACATACATATATATATATATATATATATAAACGTGCGCGTGATAAAGAAGATCCGCGATTACTCGTGCGACGATCAGTGATCGAGCATCAAGTTTTGGTTATTGTGCGTCGTATATAGTCGTCGTCATCGTCATCGTCATCGTCATCGTCGTTATTTTCATCGTTGCCATCGTCGTTATTTCTCGCAGCTATTAGCTCTAGTCTACAAAGTCCTCCTTCCTTTTTACTTTTCTTATTGTCATTATCTATCTATTTCTCTCACTCTTTCTCTTTCTCTCTCCCTTTTTTTTTTCTATTTCCATCGTTATCTCCATGTTCACCGTTGTGATCGTCTACGAAACTTAAGCAAACTTGTTCTTCAAAGAACGACGAATAAGAAGGAAAGAGAAATAAAGTCAACACAACGACGTCACGTAACCATGGATATCCTGCCGAGCGGGAACATATTTAGGGAGTTGCAGGACATACACGATACCGGATACTTTTCGGCCCAGCCGTCGCTCGAGGATCACTGGCAACAGGTAAGTCGAGCTCTGACTTTTTTCCTTCTTCTTCTTCTGCTTCTTTTTCTTCTTCTTTTGTTCTTTTTACTTTTTCCTCCTCTTTAGTAAACTGTCCGCCTTTTCTATCTTCTTTTTATTTTTCATTTCATCATGTTTTTTCTCCCTTTTTATACTTTCTTTTTTTTCCTTTTTCTCTTTTTTTTTTTTCTATCTTTCATCCACACCACCAATGGCGCTTCCGAGAGATAACGGTCGATATTTATCAACCATTATTTTGCAATTTAAGAAAAAAAAATACACACACACGCACATATATATATATATATATATATAGTTTCATGACGAGACACGGGAAAGAATGGATCATTTTTCTTTCTATTTTTTCTTTCTTTCCTTCTTCTCCTTTCCTTCTTTACATATCATGTAAAATAATTGCGTATCTTTCTATACTACTTTCATTTATGAAATAGAACCGGAGAGAGATTAATTATCATGAATACGGAAAATACGAAGAATTTATCTCCTTTCTCTCTTCTCTCTCTCTCTCTCTCTCTCTCTCTCTCTCTCTCTCTCTCTCTCTCTCTCTCTCACACACTTTGAATCGATTCCCGATACGAGGACTAGGACTATGACGGAACGACCTTGGCTCGAGTGTAATAGGTCGGTGAGTACGTTCAGTGACGCGCCGGGTCGGTACCATAGACGCCGCGCGTCCCGTTTGTTTACGAGTGTGCAATGACCTTACGCCGATCCGGGCCGACAAGAGCGAGTGAGCTGCCTCGTACGCAAGAGAGAAAGAGAAAGAGAGAGAGAGAGAGAGAGAGAGAGAGAGAGACGTTCGCCCTGCATTCGCTGCATCTCAGATGAGAATATTGTGCTTTTCGTTTTCTCTCTCTCTCTCTCTCTCTCTCTCTCTCTTTCTATCTGTCTGTCTAATGACAGATATTTTCGTCTTTTTCTTTTACGAGAGATAACTCCATATTCCTAATTTCTAATCTCCTCGATCGAAGATTTAAATCGTAATAGCCTTCGATTTTCAAATATGATTACGTATGTTTCTATAGGTTGCTATTATTATTATTGTAGTTATCGTTCTTTTTTTTCCTTATGTTTTCTCCCTTTTTCTTTTTTTTTTTTCTTTTTTTTTTCCTACCCTTTCATAACTAATCGTGTTATTTTTAAAAAATTTATCTATCTAGTCGGCTAGCTCTCGACCCTATAGCAATATTCAACGTCGAGATTATTATAGTTCCTTCGATTGCAATTAACCCGAAATCATTCGGAGAAAGCGAACTGTCAGTCGACGACGCAATAAATCGATGACATTATAATATACATACCTAAATACATATGCATACGCATACACATACACACACACACATATATATATATATATATATATATATGTGTGTGTATATATGCTTTGCGTTCTTTCGCTTATTGCGTCGTCGTTCGATTTAATTGAAATTAAAGGAAAAGGAAAAAATATTAGAATCTATTGTACGAAATATTATTATTTACATATATTATATGTAATATAAATTATTTATTACAACAATATATATCGATGTATGTAAATTATATAATTATGGTTTCTCAATACATTGTAATTACTATGAACTATTTTTCATTTCGATATAGTAGTACTAGGTAACCGGCTTTAATTATCCTCTCACAATTTCCTGACGCGTTTAACAATACGATATAGGTAATACACACAGACACACACACACACACATTATATATATGTGTGTATGTGTACATTGTTTCGATATAACCTCGTAGACCCGAGTCACAGAGCAGAGTTAGGTCGACCTTTTGCGGTGAGAGTGCACGATGGCGTAGAGCTGAATTATTTGTTTTAGCGGGTAAATTAATTCGCGAATAAAACGCGTATACTCGCTTGTTTCGCCGACGATATCAAATATCTCATGCGTCGTCGTAAACGCGAGACGTGTCGACGAATTATTAAATATTTGTGGAAAATGAAGGATCGAACGAACGATCGATCGATCTAATCGATCTGATCGATATGATCGTATATTGCCTGTTACGTACTTTGATCGCTCGTTATACAACTTTGAAGGCTTATTACGTTTTCTCTCTCTCTCTCTCTTTCTCTTTCTCTCTTTCTTTCCCTCTATCTCTTTCTCACTCTTTCATTCTCTCTTTCTCTCTCTCTCTCTCGTTTATCGTATGCACGCGTCTATGTTGCCGACATGCCGATTTGTATAATAAATCTAATGTCATCGATTGATCGATCGATCAAAAGAAATGATGCATTACTAATTGCAAATAAATTTATAAATACAATGAGAAACTTATATAGAATTTTTTAATATCTCTTATCTCCAATGATATTCATTTTTTTCCCCGTACGATCAAAAATTGACTACCGTTTTTTTGGATTGTCCAAGTTTATTTTTCTTTTTTGTGCTTTCTTCTTTTTTCATCTTTTCTCATTTCAATCGTTTAAATGTTATTATTAGTTCTTTTTCTCTTTTTTACTTTCTTTCGATATCTTTCTGTGGTAATTTTAATCGTACGATTTTTCTTTTTTTTTTCTTTTTTTTTTTTTTTTTTTTTATATTTAAATATTAGCACGTAAAATTGTTCCGTTATATTACATGTAAGTAGTATTAAACAGTTTGCGTATATGTCTGCGTACATCTAAATTGAGAATTTCGATCGCAATTAGTTTGGTACTCGTCGGCATGTTCGATTTCAGTATTTGGTCGAGTGTATATATATATATATATATATATATATATATATATATATATATATTCAGGTAATAATCTCTGATACGTTTGTAAGGACTTGGTTCGGAACAGACGGATAATTAGTTTTCAGTTATAAACGTGCGTAGAAATACAGAATGGTTAATTATACGTGATGAATAATGGTTTCCGACATTTTTCGAGATTTATTTAACGACGGTGTTTAAACGTCGTTGTACTTATCAGCCATTCGTTATCTCATGTACAGTTAGTCATTTTACGGGATATTTCCATACAAACGGAAATAACGCCAACGTTCTCGTTCTGTCCTGTAGATATATATCGATGGTAAAAATGGTTCGGAAGTGCATAGCTTTTTGTTTTTGCTTGGGTTTTTTCTTTCTTTTTTTTTTTTTTTTGTTTTTATTTTTTCTTCCTTTTCTCTCTCTGTCTCTCTCTCTCTCGTTCGTCTCGCGTTTCGTTTTCGTGTTTTATTCAAAAATCGCACATAGTAGTCTCTGGTTCACCCTCGAGATTTGCCCGTGCCATCGCGAGCAAGCGATGCGATGCGATTGTTATTTATCGTGTAAAAAAAGAAAAAAGAACAAAAAAGAGCAGAATTACGAAAAAGGAAAACGAAAAAGAGAGGGAGAGAGAGGTAATGGTAACGCAAGTATCATCTCGAACAAAAGGAGGATGAATAATTTTTACTGGGTCAGAGATACGCGGGCAGATCGAGAGGAAAACAAAAACGAAAACGAAAACGAAAAAAAAAGCAAGGGAAGGAAAAGAAGAAGAAATAGAACACAATCGATACGAACGCGTCCCAAAGGTATATTATATATAGTACGTTTTTCTGAAAAGAAATTTTTAAAAAGCTCGAAGATGGCGACAAAAGAAATAATAGACGACATAAAATCTATTATATTTAGATATTTTCTTCCGCGAGGCCGTAAGTTTCGCACGAAATATTTCGATGCCGCCAAAAACGTTTGTGAACGATCGAAGCGTATGTATCTCCAGGGAAAACATCGTGAAACCATCGGAATAATATCGGATGGTGTGTTTTGTACATTGAAATTTAATATTTATATTGTTTGCTACGATCGAACTTTATATATCGTATATTTGATAGGACTTCATACTGTCACGGATCCTTCTCTCTAGTGGAACTAGTGGAAACACTATTGAAATGAAAGTTATTCAACCAACTTGCGGTAGATATATTCTGCCCCGAAAATAACTTTTTCCTCGATTCGATTTTCGTTTACCGAACGTTGTCGAACGTAGATGTATATCGTTAGTATCGATGATGAAAAAAAAAAAGAAAAAAAGAAAAAAACAATTGCAAAATTTTTCACCGTCTATATGTCGAATTCGATGACGTCGTTTTGTCGATCAATTACTCTAAATTTTATATATTTGTCCTTTGCAATGGGACGTTACATACAATGCGACGCGTTTGTTGACGTGACGCTTCGTTTATTAAATATAATAAATCTATAGAAAACAATTTTATTTAAAAAAAGAAGAAGAAAAAAAAAAGAAACAACAAAAAGAAAAACAAAGAACAGAAACAAAAAATTACTTTCAAGATATAAACGCAATTCTATATGGGCGAGAACGGATGAGATATCAAAAGCAGAAAAAAAATCGAATCGATTCGAATGGAATCTAATCAGAATTGTTCGGTCGGAAAGATAGAAAAAAAAAAAAGAAAGAAAAAAAGAAAAACGAATGAAGAAAGGTTATTGTTAACGTTACGTACATGGGTGAAATTTAATAAATCGAACATATACATAAAAAACGTCTAATTCAAAGAAATTAAATATTACAATGTTAATTATCTCGTGTATCATTTATATAGAAAAAGAAAAAGAAGTAACGTAACTTATCCAAATCGCGATACATTAAATACATTAATCCGATTCTATTCGCTCTCTCTCTTTTTTTCTTTTCTTTTTTTTTCTTTTTTAATCCGTCGCATTTCATTAGGACGGAAGATAAAGGATTTCGTTAATGGCGGCGAAAGGACGACATCGAATGATTTTCCAGGACTCGGATGAGAAAGGCGCGCGTCGATGCAGCAGACGAGTGCGCATCGAGCGGAAGGAAGAGGCAATTTTCTCGTCGCGTTTAAACGGCGCGTACCGAGCGACCGAGTGACTCGACCGAGTGCCGCGTTTTCCCTCTATCTCGTCTCCCCCGTACTCTTTACCTAAACCACTACTACCGTCACTAAAACTACCCTTCTCTCTCTTTCTCTCTTCTCCTTCACCCCTCTCTCTCCTCTCTCTC